AAAAAATACTATGCAACCGAAAGCATATCTAAGCAACAAGTAGGGAAAATGAGAGTAATAGAAGTCTTTTAAGGAGAAGGCTAAGAAACAACTATAAAATTGTAAAAATGTTCCAAATGGAATACCGCTTGATTAGCAATTACACGAGCACAAGATGTCTTCCCGGTACCTGAAATTGAAAAACTAAAATGCATAAACTATTAACCGATAAAACAATCTGAATACTGTAGTGAAGTACTAGATACACTGGCTTGTTTCTCCTATCAGTAACGATGACATGCAAAACGTTGCGAAAAACCAGTCAATCATGAATAACAACCCCCACCCCCTGAATAAGTGACCCAATGGTTCAAGTGAAACTTTCTTTAAAAGATGTTAACATTTTATCTACCTATTTTGTGGACCTCGATCAACAACCATAAGAACTTAATATTTTGCTACACATTGGTTACGGTTTTATTTATCCTCTAGAAATAAATATGTCAAGCATTATCATAGCGATTCAAATTCCATAGCTCTGTGTGTGCATGTGAGAGGGAGAGTAGCCACTGAATCAACGAGGCCTGTATATTTATTAACCATAAACAGCCTTTTGATCAATCAAAATTAATTCTCTAAGCAATTAGGTAAACATGACAGTTGACAAAAAACCTATTCCAGCCAATCACACAAACAACCATGGACTTGGTCATTTTCTTTCACTTCTCCACCGCCCCCCCCAAAAAAAAAAAAAAAAACACTAAGATTCCCTAGTCACAGAAAACAAACAAGAAAACAGAAAAGAAAGAGTAAAAATAAGAGAGAGAGAGAGAGAGGACTTTCTTATTGTTTGTTTTTCATACAGAACCTTATTAAAGTGTCATTGCAAAATATAACATTATTGTAGAAATGGATAACGATCATTAATACCATTCATAAAACTTACTCTAGGAATGCACAAAAGAAAACAATCAATAGACTAGTACGGTAAAATCATAAGGTCAACTTCCTACTTTTCTTTCTAATGAGAAAAATCAGCAAGGGGAAAGTAACTACCTTGTGAACAAGTATTGAAAGAACCACTTCAGGATCAACACTATCATAAAGTTCATTAACATTATGAGCGGTTCCAAATTGCAATGTCCGAATTCTTAGTCTCCTCTTGAGGGAATGTTTGGTTCTGCACAAATACACTACATCAATTTAAACATGAAACCTTTCAAAGTAGATGTGTAGGAGAGCAATATTTGGAAAGATAGCCCAAAAAAAGAGAGGTAACAGGGTAACTAGTTTCTAGCCGAAAACTAGAAAGACAAAATACACACATTCACAAATACGGAGATAAGTTTCAACAAATTTATATTTTGTCTCGATGAAATTGAGACAAACAGATTTTAAATAAATATAAACATTAATTACTATAAACCCCCTCAACTAGGGCCCGGTATCACTTTAAAAGCACCATAACTCTAAAAAACCGCAGTTATGAGGGAGTTCATTTCATTAACAAGATTATGAAAATACCCTGAACAATATTTAAATAGCATTTATATGAGATGGTGTTCCTTTATATATGTTCATACACTATATATGAGTCGTTCCTCTCATTTCCCTCTCACAAACTGTGTCTTTCTATCTCTCAGAACCAAACCCTTCCCCATTCTTGAAACGACCGAACCCCCAAATGCCTGAGGAGCGGCAGGGCCAATCCTCCAAACACAAACTCCCCTAATGTCAGAGCACAATACTTCCCCATAGCACATACTACAACTCCACCACCAGCAATCTCCTTCACCCTAACTACCCCCACTATCTTAGCTGCCCCTACTGGCATAAAGACTCAGCAACTTGAAGATAAATATTGGGGATAAACTTTTGGAGTTTTGTATGAGTTGGATACAAAGTTGGGGAAAATGTATTTTTGAAGTGTTTAACGTGTGTATTTTCTTGAAGTTTTTGTGCAGGAAGAGACGGATTAGTTGTTGTGCTTTCTATGTGTGGATATGTGGGTGTGTGTATCAAAGTGTGTACGTTCGTCTCTCTTTGTGTGTTGCACACATGAGTTGGCAAGTGTGAATGTAAGTGAGATAGATATCGGTGATTTTCGTGAGTTTGATGGTGTTGGCTATAGGGTTCAATTCGAATAGGTGCTAGATTTACAGTGTAAATTCTATTGTGACCTAAGCTCACTCACTGATGTAACATGCCTCTTGACAATTGGGTTGAACACATGGTAGCCAAACAAAGTGCCAAAACTCAAATAAATGATGCATCATTACTGTTGCTGATTTTATCCATCAAATGATGATTTTTTAGAGTGCACGCGAGTATATTTCGATAACAACTAAAGTAGCTGATAAGGTCACAAAGAACTTCCATTGAATCCCAGATGAGGTGAACATAATCTTATATAACCTTGGGCTATCAAAAAAAGTGACCAAGCATATCGAGGGCAGAAATATCAGTTAAACCGCTTGAGATTTTCATTGAACAACTATAAGGCAAAGGATACAGAGAAGACACGAGGGGGTAAGGGATAGGTGTGGGAAAAATTGAAAGACGAAGTAATGAGGGAGGAAAACCCTAGAATCCACTAGGGGCATTGAGTCCACAATGAGAAGAAAGGGGAAAACAAACTGGAAAAAATAGACGATAAAGAGACAAAAGAAAAGGTAAGAATTGGGAGCAAGAAAAATTAAGAGCAAAATGGGGATGAATATGGATGAAGAGGAGGAGGCAAAGGATAAAGGACAGAGCCAAGCTCTATTCTTTCACATCTTGGAAGCCGTTTTTCATGAGGCAGCTTTGAGGCTCTTTCTAGCATCTCTAAAAGACTAAAACCATTAAGAGAAGCCAAAGTTACAAAGACAACCCCCTAACTCATGACATATAAGGCCCTCAACGTTCTTACGCACTGAAATATACCCTAAAATTGCATATGCAACAAGCATATTTACAAGATTCTAATAATCAGTAAGTGCTACAATTTGCTTTCTTTTATCTACATCACATCACCAAAGCTGGCTGTGGCAATGGGGTTGGATTTATGGGGGGTGGGATGGAAGGGGTTGGGTTGTGGGAGGAGGTGATGTCAGACTGTGGAGTTGGCTTCCGGATCGTGGTGGTGTTAGAGTGTAGGGTTGGACTTCTGGAATTGGCAAGCTGGAAGGGGAAAGTGCTTGTATTTTTTTGTCAGAGAGAAAGAAGAATAATGGTTTGATATACACCCCCTCAAAGATTATTTTGGTCATATAATTGCAGTAGACTAATTTAGGTAATATTTTTTGCAAGAAGGGTCAAGTGACATCGGATCATAATTGAGGGGTTCAACCTGTCGAGTTAAAAGAACCAGGGTGGTTAAGTAATAACAAAGCCATACTTGAGGGGTATCAACATGCATAGTTTCATATTATCTTCAATATATTTTTTCCACAAGAAAGGATGAGAGAAAATGCAGTCCTACAAACCTTAAGGAGCATTGTAAACTTCCAAAGAGCGTTGTTTTAAGGATACATTATCTTTCATCCCCTTGTAGTTTCAGCCAACAATACTTGGCCTCCCTATATTTTAGGAATCCACAATTCACCTCCTTAGAGTTCAGGACTTGAGTGGAACAGCTAGAGGAGTTAACACAAAGATCATACCAACCTTCATATTTTAATTTCACAGTGCTTTTCTGTCTTAAAACCAATTAGAGGATAAAATAATGGCATAAAAAAAAGTATAAAGAACATTGGATTATTTGAGAGAGGAAAAAAGGAGACATCATGTTATTTTATTGAAAAACTCACTTTTGACATCTGACCATCCACTTTAATGCCTTGTTACAATCATTTTGAGGTTGACATTTATATGCTCTCTAGAATCAGGCCCCATTGGGAGATGTATTTCCCCGTTTGAAGGTTCAACACGTCAATATTAGAAACAAATATACTCTAGAAATGATTTGGTTGCTCTTCATTAGGGCCTAGATGCACAGTATGGTCTGTATTTAGATAAAGAGGAAATCTGTCATGGTGCAGCAAAGGAATACGGGCATGACAATCAGAGAAAGCTTTTCAACTGACACATTCATCCATATGGATCTCTCTGCCTTTGACCACAGAAACCCAATAGTTTGATTATAAATATTTTACAAGTACATGAAGCTCAGAATTATATGACAAGGAACAAATTTAAGAAATGTTTATGTTGGAGAACTAAGCATACCTACTTGCAGAATTCATTCCTGAATTCGAAAGCTCCTCTGGAGGCACAACAACAGTATATTGAAAAGCAATCTGTACCATAGGAAGTTCTGAAGTGTGTCTGCAGAAAAATAATCCAACAACTCAAAATGTTATCAAGATTATGAAACCCCTTAACACTCATAAACACGTTGTATCATGTATAAAAAGGAAAACAACTACTTCTGCTAAACATGGGAAGAAAAATGCCAAACTAATGTGATAACTCCATACACCCAAGAATAGATTACACAACCATTTAAAATTTATCAAATGCATCTTTACTTTTATAATCTGAACCATGAAGTGTTCAATAATTCTTAACTGGACAGTTCTTTACCTGGAAAAGCCAGTAGTATTTGCAAAATCGAAGTCATAAGCATACGTGGCATAAGAATCACAACAAATAATGTGCTGAACGTTTTCATACTGTGGATCAGGGAAGAAATGACCATACTGCAGGAAGATAATGAGAACAACTATAATTAGGCCATCACATGGAATAGAAACTCACTAGGAAAAGATAAAACAACTTACAGAATGACCAGGTTTGAATTCAGTGGATGTCCTTAGTCGCAGTACACAATTAAAGGCATATGGGCGACTTAACATGCGGTACCTGCAAAAAGATCATTACATATCATCTGGACTTACTAAAATTCTCAAATGGAATCATTTTATATTTCTCGACCAAGTCCAACTTCAAATACTAAAAACAGTACAATATTTGTATTAAACACGATAACACCATTCCATCTACAGTCTGACATATGAAATTGTCAGGATCAATTTCAGCAGCATTTCCAACTCACATGTCCTGAGGAAGTGTAGAATCATCAGTGTTTGCATACAAAAATAATGAGCCTCCACTCTCAATACTAAGAAATTTAAGCGATGCCAAATCTGTGTACTCATTTGTAACAGCAAATATGTCCACACAAACACCTGCTTGAACCGCAACAGCAGCCTGTGAAATGTATGGGCTTCAATCTCCAAAACACATTCCATCAAAAAAATATAGACTAATAATCCCTAACAATTACCAGATCTTTGTAAAATGGTGTCTGCTCAGGAAGTAAAGCACGGTCTGCATCCTCCCCTTTGCTAGCATATTGCTCACCGTACCTTCTCGTATCTAGTTGCCCTGCTCCGTAATCAGGAGCGCCAGATAGGAAGGCAAAGACTCTGGCTGCAATTCATTTCAACGGAAACAAAATATATGTATATAAGAATTCATACAGTATATAAATGGGAGAGAAAGTGAAAACGTTTTGATCAAGAAGGGCCCATCATTAGTAAATTTGAGCAAATTTGAATGGCAAGCTATGAAATTCATGAGTAATACTTTTATCTAATGCAAATATCATGACAAGATATGAAATTCATTCAGTATACCTAATGCAAATGTGCTTCCATATTCTGATCCAAGGTAATTGAAAAGAGCTTCCATTGCCACACCAAAACCCCGCCCACCCAGCAAAACTCCATCTAATCCTTGACCAGCTGCGGTGGTCCTTTCCCACGAAGTTGTTGGTTTCAGTGTTTCAAGTGCAGATGCAATACGATCCTTACAAGTTTCCACCTGTAACAAAAATTCCTGAATTTTTATAACTTCATCATCATTTAACGGCTAGCATATATAATTATGGCTTTTGGGTAGTAGGAGATGGACTTCCCAATCAAAGCCTGATTTTATGAAACGCAAATAAAAAAACAAAATCAAGGTGACATGTATGTGGCAAACGGTGTACCGGAGCCAAAAATGAAAATAAAGGCATGACATCTTCGAGCTCAATTGGTAAGGAGCCTTCGGAATCTGGGGGAATGAAAACATTCTTCACAACTGGTATAGGCCCCTGAACATCATACAAACCTATTTTGTGACTGAATGTAGCAAGGCCAAAAAGTGATCCAGGCCCAAGAGCTGCAATGGAAATCAGAAACCATTCAACCATCAAAGGAAAAACTTCACGCAGTTCAATAAAAGTTAATAGTAATGGTTCTAGAAATAACCAACCTTCCAGGGCTGCTAAAAGAGCACTTTTAGTCAGTTCCAAAAACTCCTCTGAGGCTGCAACAGATTACAAGCAGGTACAAAATTAGATATATCAGAAATCTAATCCAAAAAATGAGTGAAAGCAAACTATGCAACAAGAGAAAGGCACAGATACCTTGATAGAGTAAATAAAACTTGAACATAAACATAGGCTCAAAAGGCTCTTTTGAAGCATATAAATAAACTAGGTATTAAAAAAGGGCACTCTCCATCTACAATGCAACCAGAGCGTAATATTTTCTTTTGGGACAAGAAGAAATATTAAAAGCATAGACGTGTCCCACATTGTGACTCGTAATTATTACTGGAATGGAATGTTCAAATATGCAGATATAGTCAGATATTACTACATAATTGATAACTTTTTCGTATCACTTCATCATCACTGGGTTATCTGAATATGTTACCCACCCAGAGGAGGTCGCCATGTATATGTTAACCATTATTTTATTTTTTTATAGGATACATATTTACCATTGTTAATGGTCAGTACTGATTCACTCATTAAACTAAATGAGATGAACACATAAATCAGCATAATTAGTTTAGAGTAATATCTTACATGACAGATCAACAGCCGCAACATAGACTGGTCGAGCCTCCATTTCCCCAGATCCTTCCACTGCAAAAAAAAAAGTCAAATCAAATGATTACTGTATTGCTGCTAAAGAAAATATACGAAGAGACAAATTCAATAACAATAGCTGTGAGTGACTAACTTTCGGTTTTTGCAACTCAAGAAAACAACAATTACCGAGTATTCAATCATAATCAACAATTATTCCAAATTAGCCTCGTTTTTCGATTACTTGGAAACCAAACCAAAGCACCACAGAATCATAAGCTTTAAATTTTAGCCTTGCTATTGCATTCTGAAGAAACCAAACAGTACAGAATCAAAAACTATTGAATTTGTACATTTCACTTATTCTTTGGCTTTCCCAACAAGGGAGAACAATACAACAATTTGAACCTTTCAGATTTTTCTCTTCCAAGACCAACCCAACAACAAAAATACTTTTTGATTAATTGATACAAGAACTGACCCCAAACTAGCCGAAATTTCAGTTCAGCCAAATGAAGTTACTATGTCCTTAATCCGATTAGTTATTAACAAACTAGCATTCGAAGTTCCACGTGTTCACTCTAGCTATACAAGAGATCCTTGCTTAAATGAGACAAACAATTGTTCCCCACTTTTATATTTCCTTCATTTTCCACCTAATACTCGTCACCAACCAGCATACACACACTCATATTCACACAGACATATAAGTTCAAAAAAGAGCAATTATTGGACCATTCGAAGGTCCCTAATACAAGAATTCAGCTTCAATGGGGCACAATTTTCAAAACGCCGCAATGAGTACTACATATGAAAAGCATTCAATACATTTCTATATATATATACACATGTGTGTGTGTAAGTATATGAGTGTAGAATTTACTGGGCAACTCGAGATCGATGAAGGAGGACATGTTTTCGGGACAAGAGTCAGGGAGAGAGTATTTAGAGATGATCTGAGACGAGAGGCCATTGAGGGTCCCACACAGAGCACAAGACCAGGCCCACTGCTCTTGTTCGCAGTAGGTATTGTAATAGGCCCAGCAATTCTCGCACCTGGGTAGCAAATGGCCGTCCGATCCGTACAACGGCGGGTTTCCGTTCTCGTCCTTGGCCGCAAACGGCGTCACCGTCACGCCCCACGGCAGCCCCGACGACTCCTGTGCGTCGGGGTCGGATGGAAAGCGAGGAATCGTCGCACGAACCGCCATTCGAGTGAGCTTTGATGGTGATAGCAGAGAAGGTATGGAAGTGTGAGAATTTGGGGGTTTATTTGGAATTTTTCAGGGAAGGTGGGTGAAGGATAACAAAGGATGGTTACGACGCAGGAACTAAAAACATCGCTGCACTGAAGAAGGCGTAAGTTAGCAAGGGGTGTTACACTTACAGCGAGGATGGACCAATTGTTATATGCCACGTCAGATTTCTAGTTCTCTAGTTATAAATATTCAATAAACTTCACGGAACCCACTAACTCAATAGTAGATGTTGGCAACCCCTTTGACTGGTCATAAGAATTTATCTTTTCGTAAATATGTTAATTCCTGTACGAATAATATATTTTTAATTCAAACGAAAAAGAATTAAATCCATATATATATATATATATAAGTTAATTCAAACACTCTTATCTGTTGAAAAAAAAAATAGTATGTGTATCATTATTATTAGAAAAATGCTATTGTAACTAATTTTTTTTTTTTTTGAGGAGAAAAGAATTTGAACTCTTGACCAAAAAAAGGCAAAACTTTTACAAAGTAACGAGTACCATTTGATTAGTTGTGAGTTTCGAGTTAAGTCCCTAATTAGGTCTCCAAATGTTTCAAATATGGTGATGGTGGATGGATTGTGAAAAAATGGAGAGACAAATGCTATTTGGACTTAATTTAATACAACAATTAGAGTGATGGAGAACTTTATTTAATATATATTAGAATTTTTAACTAATCTAATTGTTATATTAAATTAAGTCCATGATTAAATTTTTAAATTAAATCCCTATAACATTGCTCAAATCAAATGAAAGTTACGAAAAGGGTTAAAGGTGGAACATTTGTTTTAGGGTTTGTTCAAAATTTAAGATAGATTAAATCGAGTTATGTGGATAATTTCTCCCAGTGTGAGAGAATGCTCTGATTATTTTGCAATCGAAGAGGAGTCCAACCCTTTTTATTTTATGTCAACACATATATACACGTGTATAAATCTTCGACATGGTATCTACTTAAGATGTTTTAAAAATGCTTATATTGGATAGTTCACACATATCTGTTATTATTATATCTCAGTATACTTAATGTATCTTTTGCTATTATTATATATATAATATTACATTCTTAGTACGTTTCTATTCTAATTTTTTTTTTAAAATTTTATTACTTTTGCCTTCTCACTCACGCTCTCATTCTATCATGAGCTAGGTTCAAGGGGTCCATAATTTTTGTTACGGTAAATTACATCCATTCTGTGTAAGGGTTTGGTTAAATAACAACGAGATCCCTTCACATATGAAAAAAAATACTATAATCCGTTCTACTTTAGTTGTCGGTAATAAATTCTCCCAATTGTCGGTTTGTAGTTAAAGAGACATAAAATTTTTACTCATGTTTTTTAAAATATCAATATTACCCTTATTATGGTTATATTTAACTTATACTTACGGTTAAACCAATTATATACACAATATTGGTAGCTAACAATGGAGGTGGGGGTTGAGTGGGCGTGGTTTGTGTATTTTTTNTTATCTTTTCGTAAATATGTTAATTCCTGTACGAATAATATGTTTTTAATTCAAACGAAAAAGGATTAAATCGATATATATATATAAGTTAATTCAAAGACTCTTATCTGTTGGAAAAAAAAATAGTATGTGTATCATTATTATTAGAAAAATGCTATTGTAACTAATTTTTTTTTTTTTTTGAGGAGAAAAGAATTTGAACTCTTGACCTAAAAAAGGCAAAACTTTTACAAAGTAACGAGTACCATTTGATTAGTTGTGAGTTTCGAGTTAAGTCCCTAATTAGGTCTCCAAATGTTTCAAATATGGTGATGGTGGATGGATTGTGAAAAAATAGAGAGACAAATGCTATTTGGACTTAATTTAATACAACAATTAGAGTGATGGAGAACTTTATTTAATATATATTAGAATTTTTAACTAATCTAATTGTTATATTAAATTAAGT